CTTAAAGGAAAACAAGAAAATACTCCAACTACTTTTTGCTTTGTTTCTTTCCAAAATTAAAAATTTAGATAGCTGCTTTTTTTTTTGGCCAAAGATTTGTGTCATCCCCGCCCCCTGTAAGAACAGTACAAAACAGCACCCTGAGGACAGCAGCATAGTGAGGATGCTACTGGGATATAAACAAAGTAAGAGGACAAAACTCGGTACCCTTCCCACCTGCCAGAGTCCTAATTTCCCCTACTGGCTACTGTAACAAGTAACAACAGTGCATTGTTTTGAAGTAAAAGTTGAATATTTTTTTTTAAGGTACAATTTTAATGCCCAAATTCTGGTCTCTCTTAGAATGGAAGACTGTATTTCCCTGGGAAGGGGAAAGAAGAGTGCCTGTGCTTTCAGAAAGACACTTTGTGTAAGAACCTGATTACCATCATACTGACCCAAGCAAAGCTGGCATCCAGTCCAGTCTCCTCTCTCCAACAGTCACCTGTGGTGGATACCTAAGAATCATTAAAAGAACAAGGCAGACACACAGTGATAGTCTCCTGTGGATGTGATGTGCAGTACTAGGGTTGTATGGAGAAGTGGCATCTTTTATTAGACCAAGACATATAGGTGGAAAAATTAGACAAACTTTTGGCCATACAAACTTTTCTTCAGGTTAGAAACACCAGCTGCAGCTCTCAGTTAAGAACAATTGCTTAGCATTTACTAAGCTATTTATTAAGTAAGCCAGCTCTGAAAGGAAGAAGATGCTAGCTGTAGAATAGAGAGGACATTAATGATGTTAACAATGCAGAGGATGTTAAGGATGGGAGAAAGAGGGGCATTTATTAGCTAAGCAAAAAGGAGAGACAATTACCTTACAGTCTGTTGATTTGGAGAGAGGTAAGCGGGAGGGGGGGGAGGTGGAAGCAGAAGGAAATTATAATCTACTATCAGACCAGCATCTCTACTGAGACCCTGGTTTTGGGTGTTGGGCAGAGTTAGGAAACCTAGTTCCCATGCTTACTTCTGTGGGACAAATTCTGTAGTTTCCCTTAAAGATCAGGACTCGAAGATCAGAGGGAGAATGTAGTGTTTTGTGAGAAACTCTCCTTCACCAACAGCACAGTGTTTCGGTCTATAAAGACCGTCTCTGGGAGTTCATGCTGGTGCTGAGTGGTTGTTTTCAGTAGCAAAACCACCAGGAAGGCAGCCATGCACAGGATGAAGTATGTTACAGTCCTGGAACTCCAAATGTAAGATCGGAGGATGCTGATGGTTTGATGGCAGGAGGTGTTCATTGTTGTAGCAGCGGATGGGCATCAACACATCGTACATTTGTTGCTCAGGCACAGTTTAAACTGATCTGGTGTTTTGGACCACAGAGAATTACACTTCTAATGATGAGTTTTGTGGTTTGGGGTGCTTGAAATGTAGGACAAGTGCTTCTGGGAAGATTCTTTCCACATAGGATTTTCTTCTGTTATGTGAAAAATCATTAAACAGTTAAAACTAGAAAGTCCTAGGAACTTTCCTGAACTTACCAGCTCTCAGCCCTCATTCTTCCCCCCCCAACACCCCCTCCATTCCCATTTCCACTTTTTCTTTCTGAGCTGGTCTCACCGATGCATCCCTATCTAAGCTCTAAGCAGTTGTTCTCAAGTTGCATCTAGCTTTGGTAGTTACTGCTTCAGAACCAAAAAAATAGCTTGTTAACCCAGAAATTTGTCTACTTTTCCTTCTATACCAGTTGATCTGAAAGTTACTACCTACATGTACAAACCTTGTCATGTACACACTGATCTTTCTCCTAGAACAATCTTCTGGCTTGTTGCACACAGCAACTTAGAACAGTGACTTTTCAGTGTTTTCCAGTTTGAGAAGTGAGTATTTCCTAAATATTTCAAATGCAGGCCCTGTAGATAGAATTTAAGCCAACTGACAATGGACTTAGGCATCTTAACTACCTTCCCTGGATTGCGTGATGCGTCCCCACGTCTGAAAGCCACAGAGGCTTCCTGAGACTAGCTTCCTGAGACTTGTTAGAAATTCACACTCATTTTCTATGAGAAACAGCACATATAATACTTGTTCCTATCTAAAGATCCAGTGTTCAGTTGTTTTAGGATTAATAGGAAAACAATACTGTCATTTAGGGCTGAATATAAATCAGGGTTTGTGCTAGAAAGGAGTTAGTAATTTTAATTACTGATGTAGATCTGACGAGGAGAATCTGTAGCTTAAAACTGTAAATATGATATGCAAGGAATCAAACTTTTTTCAGCAGAAGATGGAAAAAGATATCATTTGTGCGTATCATTTTTGAACTACCGTCCTCTGAGAAGAGAGTTCTTGACATAACTCAATGAACCTCAGTACACAAGGACATCAGGAATCGACATATTTAAGGTCGTGCAATTTCTAAACATGATCCCGCTCCTGCAGTCATTACACAGCATAGATCTTGCTATTAATTAGTTTGAATGTGGGACAGCACTGCTGGGAGAAAGAAAGTGTCCTAAATAGCATGGTCCAAATTTTATCTGTAGCTATCCAAGAAATACGGATGTCTTTTATTAACCCTTGCCACCTGTGACAGCTAGAAATAAATGCTGGGCTTGTCTTATTCCTAATGGATTTTTGCAGCTCATTAGCGTGTAAAGTGGGAAGGGTGGGAGCATGCTGCAGAGAAGGAAGACAGCTGGCTGGAGAAGTTTCATGCCTGGTTCAGCTCTGAATGGCAGCATTAACCGTCGGACAAATATGAGGACATTCACGTCCACGACACAGAGGCTTGGTTACTGAATGTTTGGAGAACGTGGTAGGATTCTCCTCCTCTCCAGGAGCACGGTTTATTATTCTTATTGAATTCCAGCGAGTACAGTAAATCCCCCATTCAGCCTCCATCATTTTTCCATGCTCTGCATT